CAAGCCCATAGTACCTGCAGACTTTTCAATGAAGCAGGAAATTTGAAAGACTGTCCTGCCTATATTGGCAGTTTGTCAGTCACTTCCCTCTGTGTCTGCAGAATATCTGATAGACTCTTCTGTGACGCAGGAATTTTGAAGGACTGTCCAGCCTTGTTTTGGCAAAGATCAACAATGTTTTCTCTGTGTGTCTTGCAGAATATTTGCATAGCACATTGGCATCAAAGGCAAGAACAGTTTCTTTACTCAGTGGCTAACCTTGCCACAACAAAAGCAAACTCCACAAAGAGTCTCTTCAATGCCCATCGTCTTTTCTGAAGTAAATTGGTGTTGCCAGGAGCAGATGAGTCTCATAGTCATGAAAATCTTTAAATTAACAAAACATTTAAATTCTATAGGTCTTTGAAGTATATGAAGACCATCTATCTAAAAATGCATCTATTTAACCTAGAAAACATATCTACAAAAATTGTTATAAATGACTACTACGTTTCTTGATTGTCCTATATAGTTTATAATAAAAGCTTTCAAAAACTAGAAGGTTATCTTACATTTTTAAATGAACTACACAGATACAATAACTTAAACAAGAGGAGAAATACATATACAATATGTGGTAACAAATACAACCTTAAATTTGTATCAATCAGGCCAGCCTGGTCTACAAAGCTACACAGAGAAACCCTATCTTGAAAAAAAATTGTAACAATCTACAAAAACCCTTTAGACAAAAGTAGAAACATATATACAGTGTAACAAAAATAACATTAAATTTGTATCAATATACTAAAATACTTTAAACAAAATTAGAAATATATAGTGTATTGTAACAAAAATGACCTTAAATTTTTCTCACACCTTACAAATACAAAGTATTTTAGATCAATACTTGTCCCTTAGTTTATAATAGATTCAACAATCTACCCTTTCATCCTATCAATCCTACATCCTTCCTCTTTTCCTTTTTTTCAAAGAGATCCCTGAATATAATATCATTTGCATAATTTCCTCCCTTGCCAACACCAGTAACAATTAATAAACATCCCCCATAAATTATGACAAGCATCCATAACCCACCAAATAACTAAAAGCCTCTCACACTGTTGGGAATGTGGGTATTGTTTTCTCTAGACTGCTTCTTGCTGGTTGTGGGTAAGAAGACACCATTAGGATCCCAGAGAGAAAATTGAGATAATGACCAAGTCCTGCAAAGACCAGCTATAATTTTGTTGATAGACATCACCTGTCAAGTTTCAGGTGGTCTTCTTTGACCAAACCTGACCCATATCTACCTGGAACGAACTCACAGCCTCTTGTTTCCTATGGAAGTAAAAGCAAAACCATTTCTCCAAAGCATTTTTTTTATTTCCATGTGACAAATAACATTTGACTTTTTTAAAGTTAAGGCATTCCTAAAGTATATAGGCTTGTTTATTTCCACTCCAGGTCTCTTAGCAGCTGTCCTTTGCTTTTAGCAATCAAATAATTCAAAATCAACACAATAGCATACAGGATCCAGACTCTTTGTGTATTTCCCATCTTTATGTGCCTTATTATTTTTTTATTATTTTTACTCTCTCTTTAAAGACATCTATTGTATTATTTTAAGTTGTTTATTTCTTTCTATGACTGTCCATACCTGTTTCTTTCTTTCTTAAGCCTATGCACATTGTAAACACACTGGAACCCATTCAGAGGTTTTTCCATCTGGACCTCTTTTACTGTGTATCTCTAGTCTTTTTTGACCAAAGGAGCAAACGTTAAACTGTTAAGCTACACCTGTGTTCTCCCAGTGCAGCTCTATCAGCTGGCTCGGCCCACTTCTTGGGGCAGGAAAGCCAAGTGTAAAGTTTTCCTCCTGGTCCGAGGCTCATGGAAAACTGCATTAAACCTTTCTATCTATGGGAGCCAGTACCTGCGTTGTTGCAAGCAGTTTTTACTTAGCTTGCTGTTTGTAGCTTCTATTTAGCATTGCCAGCTAAACAGCAGTGTCTCTTAAAGGAGCCATGCCCCGCCCCCACACACACACACTTTCTCAGGCTCTATCTAGATGGATGTCCAAACACCACCATGGTACTCATTTTGTAGTTGTAGTTTTGTCTCTACTCTTTTGGCTCTTTGAGGGGCCCATCACTCAGCTTCCAAATAAATCACACACAGAGGCTTATTCTTAGTTATGAGGGCCTGGCCTTAGCTTGGCTTGTTTCTAGCCCTTCTATCTTTTCCCTCTGGGCTTTTATCTTTTTTTCTATATGTCTTACTTTCCTTCTTACTCAGTGCCATCGACCACCCCTTTGCTGAGGGATGCATCAGCATGTCCTGGGACTTCTACAGGGACTGAGAGAGTTGGAAAGAAACTCTCCCAGCCTCCTTGGTCTACGGAGGAAACAATGGATGGGCACCTTTGCAGGGAACACACTGACATCAGCACTGCCTTGGTATGTGGGTGCGGCCAGAGAGCTTTGGACCAAACTGTGCTGACTGTAAGGCCAAAGGAGACACCCCGGGCACTGGGCACAGAACATCTCCTCTGGGAGGTGGAAGAGCTCGAAGGTAGACCAGCAGTTTGTTCATTGAAGTTACAGGGGAAAGTCAAAGAAAAAACTGAAGAATGGTGGCATGTCTACCACCCCTGCAAACACTACCTCGGAAACAAACGAAGTCCGGGAAACTATGGCCTACTACCAACCTGTACCAACCCGAACATGTTGGACACCACCCGCTATGGGTTGGGCAGAAGATGGCGTGGGCCTGGCAGAGGTTGAGTCACCAGGACTGTGCCAAAGGCTTGATGTGGCAGGAGGTGACATGACAAAGGCACTAGAGTGTGCCAGGTGGGTGCCAGCCGTCTTAGCTGTCAGGACTGGTCTGGGACAGAAGGACAGCCCTTGGATATATTTTTAACGGAGGCATTTTCCCTGTGTGCAAACAGCTGCCTCTCTCTGCCGGCTTCTTTCCTGAGACTGAATAGGCCAGAGGACAAGGCTAAGGACAGGTAGCAGGGGCAGGAGGCTTAGAATGGATGATACTCTGGCCTGTGGTTTAATCCTGCTTCACTTATTTTCTTCATTGGTCAGGAGATAAAAAACAGTTGAGGAGAGAGAGGCTGAGAGAAAACGTCAACGACCCAGAGATTCAGTAACCAAACAGCAGGAAGTGATGAGAGTCTCCAAACAACTTTGAGATGACTTTGGAAGGGACCCTGATGCCACATTGACTGAGCACCAACAGCCACTAGCCTGATGTCCCCCACAAAATGCAGAGTCAGGAGGAGCACCTCATTGAGGCTGCACAATGAAAGTGTGTAACAAGGAGGTCCATGCATGTAGCTGCTCGTCTTTCAGCTGAGGCTGTTCTAGTGAGGACAGGCTGGGTGCTAGGTCCCTGGAGGAGAAGTGGGGGCTTCTCATGAACGCACGTGCACCTTTACACCCGTATCATGTGGGGTCTGCCATATGTCCCCAAGGACCCAAGACTAGTGATCATCTCTTGAACCTCTGCTGTAAGACATCAGCAGTAAACACGGCACAGGTAGCCCAGAAGTAATGTGGTTGGATAGAGACCTTCCAAGCATCAGCAGTGTGCAGACATAGGCTCTGAGAGAGGCCCTGCTCCTCAGGCCATTCCCAGGCCCTGCCTGAAGCAGTTACACTGATGACAAGTGCTTTGTTTTCCCGCTGGACATCAGTTTAAGAGGTAGAATGATTACCCTAGCATGCACTCATTCACAAGGCCTTGGGTTCGAGCCCCAGCACTCCAGATACCGAGTGTGGTGGCACATGCCCGCTGATGAAGAGATCCCAGGAGGCATGGGAGTGAGGAGTTAATCCTAATATTCACCCAGGTCAACCGGAGGAAGGGCTCCTGGCATGGCAGGCACCTCCAAGACACATTCCTGTGTGTCCTTTTGTTGACTCCTCCCCCGCATTCCAATCTCTACTTGTGCTGGAGCAAAGCAGTGGAGACGGTGTCCACGGAGCAGATTAACCATACTTTGCCCCAACCTGCCCATGATTAGGCAGCCATTCCCTGGCTGGCAGTCCTTGGAGGGACAGACACAATCCAGGAAACACTCAGCAAGAGTTGTGACCAGGACATCATAGCAAAATGGAGCTCATTTCTAGACCTCACATACTCAGGTGTGTGTGTTTCTGGTACTGGGGAGACAGCTCATCGAGAAAAGCCACTTGTCATACAAACATGAAGATGTGTGTTTGCTTCCTAGAACCCACATTTTAAAAAGCTGAGCACGGTGGTGACTGCTCATAATCCCAGCACTGGGGAAGGGGACATGGGCAGGTCCCTGGAGCTCATGGGCCAGTCAACCCAGCCTAGTTGCTGAACTACAAACTAGTGAGAGAGCCTGTTTCATCAAAGTGGATGGCTCCTGAGGAATGGCCCCCGAGGTTTCCTGGCTACTAAACACACATATGTGTGTATACATGTCCCTGTACCCATGAACTTGCCTGGGCACACATAACAGACACAAAGCCAAATGCTTCTCTGTCTACTTTTCAGGGCACAATAGGCCACTGTCATTGTCCTTTCCACGTGTCATCTCTGGCCACACACCTCATCCTTACTGTTTTCTCAGCTAGCAGGCTGTACATTTTTTCTCTCTTTGAAACAGGGTCTCAGTGTAGTTCTGGCTGTCCTGGAACTCACTATGTGGGCCAAACTAGCCTTGAGCTGAGCTCCAGCTGCCTCTAACCTCCTGAGTACCGGCATTAAAGCCTGCTGTCTGTAAGCTTCTTAATTCAGGGTCTCTGCACATATGGGCCACAAAGTGCTATTTCCCACACACTTTGTCTGTGAAGCAGTCTGAAAAGCAGCAGGTTTAGTGGACATTGTCTGAGGAACCCATGACATGCCTGTTGTCATTCTCCACACATGAAGAAATACTGCTGTGCCTGGCCTGCCCGCAGCTTGCTCTGAGCCAGGATGTATTCTGACTGTTCAAAACACTACTGGTGTTTTGGTCCCATGCAGGCTCCCCAGCTGTCAGTCTAGAGTCTGAAAGCTCCCACAAGCTCTCAGCTGTGCTCAGCTGTCTCTGTGGGTTTCCACATCATGATCTTGGCCTCCCCCCTTGCTCATATAATCCCTCCTCCCTCTCTTCACTTGGACTCCCAGAGCTCAGCCTGGTGCTTAGCTGTGGATCTCTGCATTGCTTCCATCAGTTACTGGATGAAAGTTCTATGATGGCAGTTAGGGTAATAATCAATCTGATTACAGGAGAAAGCCAGCTCAGGCACCCTCTCCTCTATTACTAGGCGTCTTAGAGGTCATCCTTGTGGATTCCTGGGAGTTTCCCTGGCACCAGGTTTCTCCCTAACCTCATCATGGCTCCCTCTATCAAGATATCTCTTTCATTGCTGTCCCTCTCCATCTCTCCCCCAACCCGGCCATCCTGATAACTCAAGTTCCCATCCCTTATCCCCATCCCCCTGCGTTCCCCGTCCCCAATTTACCCAGGAGACCTCGTCTATTTCCCATTCCCAGGGCTATTTATGGGACCCTCTTAGGGTCCTTGCTTGTTACCTAGCTTCTCTGGAGCTGTGGATTGAAGCCTGGTTATCCTTTGCTTTACGTCACTATCCACTTACGTCATCCTGGTGCATGAGCTGGCTTTCTGGAGCCCATTCCCTATGGTGGGATGCCTTGCTCAACCTTAATTCGGGGGGGGGGGGGGCGGGGGGAGACTTAGTCTTGCCTCAACTTGATAGGCCATGCTTCATTGACTCCTATAGGAGGCCTAACCCTTTCTGAGGAGGTGGGGGAGGCAATGGGAGGAAAGGAAGAAGCGGAAACTGTGGTTGGTGTGTAAAATAAAAAATTCAATTAAAAAAAAACCACTAGTTTAGATAATGCTTAGGCACTGGGAATTTTAGCAAAAACAAAAAAATAAAAACAAAACACAAATGAACAAACAAAAACTCTCCTGAATCTTATTCCTCTAACGGAAGTCATGGACACTCAACAGCTTCAATAGGCTGTTAGATGTGCTAGCAGGGAGGACTGGCATGTGCTCACTCTCTCTCCAGCACTTTCACTATTCTGAGGGTTCTTCTGCTGCCATAGGAGTTGTGGAGCTGTGTGGCACCGATAGGACCATTCAGCACCACGACCAGAGTCAAAGACCTGGCGGGCTTCACCTCTGCTCCTCCACTGCACTCCAAGCCAATGTGAGAAAGAACCCCATCACTTCCAAATCACTGCTACCCTGGGTCCCACTGTCTGCAGGTTTCACCTAGACGAAGACTCAGTCCACAGCCAGTGACTCTAGCAGCTGCCATTCTGTTTCTGCTCTTTTATGGAGGCAAGTAAGCCATCACCATTTCTTGGCTTTGTAAATCTGAGTATCTATGAAAATGCAAGCCTGACTCAGGCCTTGGAGAGAGAGCTCAGGTACGCAGCGCCATTCCTCTGGTCCACCCCTCTGCGGTTCAGCTCTGGGACTGCAGAGTTGGGAGAACTGCAGAGTTAGAGAGAAGGGGCTAGTGCCTGCTGAATGTCCCACATGGCAGGTGTGACGTGTGCACATTGTCTTTCACCCTCACAGCAACCGAGCGAAGGCAGAGGTTTCCTCTAGCTCCCAGCCACATGTGTGCCCATAGCAAAGGCGAGAAAGACAGTTCTTGTTACATCAGGCTGCCTCCTGTTACATAAAGTGGGCATTCCTGAAGAGGCTTGTGAAGTTAGGCCAAGGACCAGATCCTACCAGTTTTCATTTTGATTTTGGAATTGAAAAAAAAAAAGGGGGGGGGGAGATTAAAGATGGACAGTTGCCATCACTATCTGCCTTTCAAGCACGTAGGATCGCCAGGCATGGTCCAAACCCCTGTGTAATTCCACCTGATCCTCCCCATGGGCTCTGCAGGGTGCACACACTCTGAGGCTTGATGGAGTCAACTCATTTGTACAACTGCTGAGCAGCAGAGCTGGGATTTGAACTGAGTTCTGTCTGACGTCAGTAGGTCTGTATGTCCTGGGGCATCGGGGAAATCACAGTGGAAAATTTTCATGTGCTACTTGGTTGGAAAGAAAAATATTTGCTGGATGTTTGCATTTAATTTTGAGCCTTTTGAGGCAGGGTCTCCTGTAGTCGTCCAGACTGATGTATTACTCACAGTTCTTCCTCTTCCCTAGTACTGGGATTACGGGAATGCAGCACCACACCCAGATAAAAGTATTTCCCAATAAAATGACAGCAGCCAGTATTTAAAGTCAAACATCACATAAAAGTTATATCACCCTGTAAGGCAGAGAAGCTGTGGGCGAAGGGTTCCTTGGTTTCCACCCCACCCCTACCCCCCACCTCACTGCAGAGTGTGTAGCTTTTTCAGAGATCCTGTGGGATAGCCAGGGGGTACATCATTCAAGTTCTTAGTTCAAGTTTGCCACCGGCAAAGTTAGAGGGAAACCTCCCAGCTAGGAATTAAAAATGTTGGTCTCTGGAGTAGATGGTCCTCAGACCTTCCCTGCTAGACACGGTGAACACTTGACATTGACACAACAGAGGCAGTGGCAATGTCAGGGTATACCTGGAATGTCAATCACTGAACCTCTCCTCAAAGCTTTACTGTTATCCCAGGGTGATTGGTCACCTAATAGTTAACCACTCAGGCCCTAACTCAAGGCATCGTTCAGTTACCGTGTCTCCTGTTCTACTTGAGTGTTCAAAGCTGGCTGTTGCTTTTATGGAGAAGCCTAATTGCTGGGCAGTCTTATACTTGCTGCTTCCTTCTCCAAACCTCCTCCCCGTGACCTAGCTTTAGACTGTGGGCTGCACCACACCTTCTCTGGTCCTGCATGGACATCCTGCTATGTCTTCATCTACGGAATAAGGTGCGCTCATAGCTTAGCTTAGTAACAGGGGACATTAAAGGATACTTATTTCACAAACACAACAAAAAACAAATTAGATTTCTTCTGTAGCCCCATGCACTTTTCTCTGACACCCTATGCTTGAGTTTCCTGCATTTTTGTGGCAAGAGGCCTGCATGGAAAACTCGGTGTATAGGGAAGCTTTTGTCCAGTTGAAGCATTTTAAATTATTGTTTAATTATTGAAAAGGGGCAAAAACAAGAGAACCTTAGATCCTAAAGTGAGCAGTAGCGAGTGAGCAAAAGGGCAGCCTGTAAAGTTCCCAGACTTGTGGGAACTCTGTGTCCCATGATGTCTGCAAATGAATCACTTGTGTTCATACATTTGATGCTACTGTGAAAAAAAAATGTCCCTAGAATGCACATCCCAGATACCTGTTGTAAGCCAGAGCTGCCTTCTTCCTAGTTCCTATCATTGACAGAATACTTGCTTTGGTTCAGAGTGTGAGAGTAATGCTGAAATTCCTGTTAGACACATGGATTGCCTCATATTTATATGAAAACTTTTGTGTCTCTGAGCTGACATTGTTCCTTCCTGGTATCCAGAAGCCTGGAGCTGCAGATGAGCTTGAGGATAATTCCCGTGTAAGGATGGCAGAGAAAGATGGTAGGGTTTTGCATGTGGGATGGACCCACAGCCTCTCCTGCAGACTCGGACTTCTTCAGCATTGCTTTAGCTGAGCATCCAGCCCACTTGTTTAAGACACTGTTAATGTGGCCCTTTGATACTTGAAGCCAAAGACAAATAGGAATCAGGAACCCGCTTATGTTCCTAGATCCTCAGAAGTCTATGTGTGCATTTCCTTAAGTGTATAGAAAAGCTTCACAGCCGTGTTACCTGGGGACTGTACTTCAGATCTTCTGTATCCAGCCAGAGACAGAGAAATACAGGGTGGAGTTAAATGCAAAAGAAAATAAAAGAAACACAGGTAGTTACATGTGAGTAGTTACTTGGCTTCAGTGTACCATTAGCTTAGCAAAATTTGAGTCTGTCCATCCCAAGTGCTGATAAGGCTGTGGGCAACTGCATTCTCAACTCTGGTGAGTGGGTAACCTGGGGGAGCCACTTTGGGAAAGTGTGAAGATGCAGTAAGCAAAGAAATGTGTACTGCAGGAATGCTTGCACACTTGTGCCCGAGTTGGAGAGGGTGTCATTCACTGGGACATTGTTCTCTAACATTGAAGACCCTGAGGCAGCCCAAGTGTAAGGGTAGTGAGTGGATAAAAGCAGCCAGGTGCAGTAAAAGGACGAAGATAAAAAGCAAAAGCAAAACCCAGATCTTCATGGGTGCAAAGGGACTCTGTGGCAGCTCTGGAGAGCTAAGTGTTACAATTAGAGGGCTGCCACAAGCTTGTAGACAGGCCACCTCTTGCCAGAGATAGTCATGTCCAAAGGAGTTACAATGTAGATATTGGAGAAAGCTACAGGTCACCGCACACACCACTGGAAGCTGGTGTGCAGACTTTAGTGGCTGGGTTTACTTTAAAAGGCAAGCGTGGGGGGAGAGGAGGCTGGGGAGTTACTCCATTGCTGTCAAGTTTCAGTTGTGCAGGATGAGTATGTTCTAGAGAGCGCCCCCCAGCACAGGGCCAGAAGTACAGTATACTCACTTAAAACTGTGGAAAAGACTAGGTCTCCAGGACCATGTTCCTACCCACACATGAGAGGGTGAGGCTGGGGTACACAGGCAAGCACTTGAAGGAGATGGTCTCTTTTATTTGGATTGTGGTACTGTTTTAGGCACTTGTCCAGATTTCTCAGATTGTATGCGTTGGCTACAATGAGTTTATTGCCTACCAATTATGCCTCAATTTGGCTTTTAGAAAAATAAAACTTGAATTGTATAGCCCAGGCTGACTTTAATCTCTCCGTCCACCTGTCTCTCTGCCTTCAGAGTGCAGGCATGTACCTCTGTGGCTGACAGTGTGGCTGTTTTACAATCAGAGTCGAGGATGACAGTATGAATGGGCCTCATCCAATCAGGTGAAGGCCCCTAGGAAGAAAGATCAGGCCCCATCAAAGAAAGACTCCTGCTGCCAGCCACCTCCAGATACAAGACCACAACCCTAACTCTTGCCAAGCCTGGCAGCCAGCTACAGCTTACCACCCCACCCCATGGTCACACGGCAACCTCAGTGATGAGCGTGTTCTCCCTCTCACCTCTCCACATACACAGGTATGTCTGCGTGCATGTTTTATACATGAACTGTGTGTAAGCATATGAAAAAAAAAAAACTGTTAGTGCTTTGTCGACAAAACACTGACATTCATGTCCCCTGGGCTTTTGTGTAAAATGTTTATCTTCTTTATTTTTATGTGTAGCTGTTTTGCCTACATATAGTCTCTGTACCACGTGTCACCAGTGCTTTTGGAGGCCAGAAGAGGACATCAGATCTCCTGGAACTGGAGTTAGGAGCCTCCTTGTGGGTGCTGGGAATTGACTCCAGGCCCGTGCAAGAGTGGACAGTACTCTTACCTACTGCGCCACTTCAGCCCCATGTCTTCAGCTCTGAGTCTGCAGATGGAAGAGCTTGGTCGCTTACCTACACCCAAGCAAACTAATGCTGCAGGGTGCAGTTCTTTGCTTTTAATGATGGCGTGGGGTTTTGCGTGAAGAAAGCTCAGATGAGTAGTGCAGGGAAGCATGGAGGGTGCTCACTCGCCCGGAAGCCCTGCTGTTGACACCCACAGTGTTCGGAGAGCCAGTGAATTCCAAGGGAACGAACAATCCCGGCTCCCATCCTGCTCCTGCCTCTCCACCCTGCCTCATCTTGTTCTGCTCTGTGCGTTTGCTACTTCGTTTCTTTTCAGAGGCAGGTTTTCTTTCTGCCCTGGTTAAGTTCACAAAAGGCCTCTCAGCCAGAGAGCGGTGAGCTACAGGCCTGGGGCTTTGTCCAGGGGAGAAAGGAACAAAACGGTAGTAGCCCTGAGGGTGGGGCAGGAGAGGCACCCTGGGGGGCGGGGGTATGTGCATCTCTTTCACCTCAGCCGGGACACACTTGAATGCATTTGTGAGACTTGCCCTTGAACACTGCCCTCTTGAGACTGCTGTTCTTGTCACCTGGCTTTAAATGTCACTGCTGAAAAGAGTTTCCCTGACACCCCTGAATGTTTCTAAACTTGAAGTTTCCAGTGAAGATGGAAGACTGTGGAGATAAACAAGAAGCACCTGTCCCAGATGCCAGTCAAATGGGTTTGTTTTGTTTTGTTCTCAGCACTGGGAATCGAACCCAGGGCCCCATACATGCTAGGCAAGCATTCTACCATTGAGCTACCTCTCCAGTCCTCTTTCCCCCTTATTTTGAGAGAGAATTTCACTGAATTCCCTGGGTCAGCATTGAACTCACTTTGTAGTTCAGCTAAAGACTTGAACTTGTGATTCTCCTGCCTCAGACTCCTGAGTAACTGGAGTTACAAGTCTGCACCACCATCTTGAAAAACACTAACAAAGCAGACACCAAAACTGGAAAGCCTTGTTCCGCATAGCGCAGGTTGCAGCAGTACAGGGAAGAGTTCAGTTGCGCTGGGCATTGTGGTTGCCTTAGCCATAGGTGCCACTGAGCCCTGTAAATGCTGCTAGTGCCACTGAGCAAGTCACCTTTTCAGCAGATGACAGTCTACATTTTATTTCATTGAAAACTGAGACAGCTATTGCTGTTTACGTATGAAATGCTACCCGGAGGCGCATGTGTTTAATGCTTGCTCCACAGCCATCAGTCTCTTTTGTGATGTTCTGGAAACCTGACGGGGTGGAGCCCTGTGGGGGAAGTATGTCACTTGGGGACACGTCACTGCTTCCTGGCCACCCTGAAGTACACAGCCTTTGCCAACATGTTCCCACTACTGTGAAACCATGAGCCAAAATGACTTTCCTGCCTTAATGTTGTTGATGGCAGGCATTTTATCTCAATGACAGGAACACAGCTTCCTGTGACTAATGGCTTCCATATTGGACAGCACAGCCATGGGGGCTTCCCTAACTCCCTCAGGGCCGTGTCTGCCAGCATAGCTTGAGAAGGAACACTCGTAACAGGTCAACTCCTGATTCCCTGGCCACTGTGTGTCCATATCTGAAGCACTGTCATAGCTGTAGGGAACCTCGAAGTCGTCAAGACACACCAAGACCAAGTTCTCAGCACAAAGGTGATTTATTGCCCCAGAGGGACAGAAGGCAGGGAATAAGAGACAAAGGCAGAGATAGAGGATGGGGGAGAAGGGGAAGGGAGCAAGGGAAAGAGTACAGGGGTATTTGTCTGGGGCGGGGGAGGGGGACCGCCTCTAGATAGAGAGGAGACTGTAGCAAGCTTTCCTTTGGGCCACCATCCAGCTCCCAAATCATGACACAGAAACTTATTATATGCTATAAATGCTCAGCCTTATCTTAGGCTTGTCCCACTAGCTCTTATAATAAATTAACCTGTTTCTCTTCATCTACATTTTAGAGCTTTTTTTTTTTTCTTTCCTTCTGTAGGCTCTGCTCCCTGCTGCTTCCTCCGGCTGCCTGACCCCTGACGCCTCTCTCCCTGTCTCATTCTTTTCTCATTCTCTGGGACCTACAGTCCTCCTCCTATATTCTCTCTGCCCTCCAGCCCCGCCTCTTCCTGTACTGCCTAGCCGTTGGTCATTCAGCTTTTTATTAGACCAATCATGTGCCTTAGACAGGCAAGGTACAACAACACATCTTTACATAATTAAACGAATGCAGCATAAACAAATGTAACACACATTTACACAGTTAAAATAATATTCCTCAACAGATGCTTGGCACATAGGAAAATGGCCATTTATAAAGGCATAAGGAGAAACCCATGTTAGGATAAGGTATTTAATATTAACTGGGCGTGTTAATTAGGTGAGCCAAAGAGGCTTTTGATTGCTGGACTTCAATACTTGATAACTGAACCTTGATAGTCAGCCTCAGGAGGAGGAAGCTGCCAAATAAAGGAATAGACCTTAGGGGCTAGCTTCAAGAATATCATCTTAACATTTTTAGTAGGGCAGTGGGAATTGGGGAGAAGGTCAAGGCCTGCCAGAGCCACCTGGGCTAGGGTCCCTTCAGTGGTAGTCTGTTTTGTATCTCTTTGGAGAGGTTTTTTGTTTGGGTTTTTGTTTTCTTTTGTCGTTTGTTGGGTTTTTTGTTTGTCTTTGCAGAGTTTTGCTGTGCAGCTTCACCTGTCCTGAAACACAGGCCGACTTAGTTCGCATTAGTTCTGCCTCCCGTGAGCTACAGTCACAGGCACGTGCCACCCGTCCCACCCTGTCGTTGTTGGGAGAGTTGGGGGACGTGCTAATTATTTTTGCCAATTTAACACAAACTAGGATCACCCTCTTGAGCAGCTGCCTCCACAGATCAGCCTGTGGGAATGCCTGCGTGCATCTTCTTGAATATTGATTGATGAGAGAGAGCTTGGCCCACTGTAGGTGCTGCCCCACTGAGCAGGTGGCCCTGGGCTGTGGAAGAAAGCAAGCTGTGCAAGCCAGTGAACCGTGTTCCTCCATGGTCTCCGCTTCAGTTGCTACTTCCAGGTTCCTGCCTTGACCTCCCTCTCTCTCTCTCTCTCTCTCTCTCTCTCTCTCTCTCTCTGATTTTCAAGACAGGATTTCTCTGTGTAACAGTCTGTTGTTATTTTGTAAAAGTTTAATAATTAGAAAAGAACCGAGAGATGGAACACGAACTAGAGAGTACATTAACCATAGTTTATTAAAGGTGGGGGAGGGGGGTAGAGAGAAGATCGGAAAGGAAGAGAGGAGAGTAAGAGGAGTAAAAGAGAGAGGATAAGAGAATGTGAGTGGGCGGGGTCTTTCTTCTTCTTCTTCTTCTTCTTCTTCTTCTTCTTCTTCTTCTTTCTTAGACAGGGTTTCTCTGTGGCTTTGGAGGCTGTCCTGGAACTCCTCTGTAGACCAGGCTGGTCTCGAACTCACAGAGATCCATCTGCCTCTGCCTTCTGAGTGCTGGGATCACAGGCATGTGCCACCACCTCCAGGCACCTTGGCTTCTCTTGTTGACAAACTGTAGCCTGTAAATCAAATAAATCATTTCCTCCCTCAAGTAGCTTTTGGTCACTGTTTTATCATAGCAACAGAGACCAAACAAGGACAGGGGGCCATATGGAGTTTGGTCTGGTCAACTGAGAGTTTGGGTACCCTTTGCAGACACACTTTCATCAGGGTCAGCTAAATGTGTTCCCAGAAACTTGTGTCCACTGGCTACTTAAGATTCCAGCAACAATGAGAAATTCCCACTCAGCATCATTTCTAAGGTGGGACTTGTTTTTTAAAAAGATTTATTTATTTTTGTATACAGTGTGTTTGTCTGCATGTGTCCCTGTTGGGTCCCAGCCCCCACGGGGTCTCTGTGAGTTGCTTGTCAGCCAATAACCACAGGTACATCCTGTCTTCTAGTCCTGGCTTACAGCCCTGGCCTTGCCCCACTACACCTGGGAAAACACCAGCTCTTCTTCCACGAGCTCTTGCACCTGGGGTTTTTCTACTGTGCTGTAAGTGTATTTAAGGCTTCTCTCTCTCTCTCTCTCTCTCTCTCTCTCTCTCTCTCTCTCTGGATGAATAAAGATGGAAAGACACACACAGCCCAAGTGGCTGGACTTCTCTGTGTTTACCTAAGTCTCCAGGATTTCACCCCAAGTTTGTACGACACATGTTCCTGCACACCAGAAGAGGGCACCAGATCTCATTACAGATGGTCGTGAGTCAACATGGGGTTGCTGGGAATTGAACTCAGGACCTCTGGAAGAGCAGCCAGTGCTCTAACCTCTGAGCCATCTCTCCAACACGGTAAGATGGGACTTTTAAAATGTGTTTATCTCAATTTTGGAAGATTCAGGAGAAAGTCCCTGCAGTTTTGAGGGAGTGTTAAAAGCCCTCTGCTCCACCTAATGAGCTAGTTAATGAAGAGTCCTTCGTGCCACTGACTGAATTAGCCATCGTCCTAGTGGAAGCAGGAAAAGGTACCATTTGTCATGCTGACCTTGGGATAATTTTTATTCAAGTGATAAGCAATATCTGGACTTAGCGTATGGAAATGTCGCATATTGGAAAGGAGGGCAGATGATTGGGCCAGAAATAATTTGGTGTTTGGTTCCCAGGAGGCATACGTGTGTTCAGCACTGTTTCTATCTGCCTAGAGAAATGGGCTTTTCGAGCTGGTCTTCAGCTCAGAGCCTCCGGGGCAAGGACTCTACTCCCCACCACTCCATATGGAGACTACTGCAAAAAATGCCTTTCCAGGTTTTCTTGGAGGGAAAAAGATAAGACACATAGTAAAACATTTTTAACAACCATAAACCCCTTCAGTATAAATTATAACAAGTTATATATTTGATTTCCCCTTTGGGGGACATATTAGACTCAAATATAAAAGTTACTATATTCAAGCGTAATGTGGACTGGTTTAGTCGGAAGGTCGGGGCTCACAAAACAATCTCATGCTAAGAGAAGTGCTGTTTGGTTCTGTGATCCCGCTTGTAGGAGAACTGCTACAGACTGTGAGGGAAGTGACCAGTTTTTAAATAATGACTGTGACTTGAGTCATTTCTGAGGAACAAGTAAACAAATTCCTTCGGTTTGACTCTGGATTCCGTTACTCAAACCCATCTGCTGTGCCCGTGAGGAGGCTCTGTCACACATTGCTTAGGAGCCGGCCACTCTGAGTCAGGCTGAGTAATTGTACTTAATGAGTTTGGTCTCCATCTCATTTGGTTTTTGCTCTGCCCTCTAGTTCTACCCTGATTTTTCTTCCTCCCTCACAGCCACTTAGGCACATTAGTAGCCGTCTTAATCTGAAAAGGTCAAAAGGAAATTATGGAGGAAACCCACCGAGAATAGAGTATCACAAAATTTATTGTCTAAATGCAGACGTGTTAGAGAATAAGAGGATTGTTTTAGTAATCATGCCAGGGCAGCAAGTGTAAACTTCCCACTGTAACTAAAGGTCAGCCTCATTAGCTATGAATGCAAACCAAGATGAGACCATCACGACCCACCAGACTGGCAAAAGTTAAAGTGTAAATTACCAAGTGTCAGTAAAGGTGCTGAGCACATGGAAGACTATGCTTCTGGGCATACATTGAGCTGTCACTGTTGATGGCCCTGGGGTTATAGCTCACTGTGGCTAACCTATAACCACTCTGAAATGGCTTCACAATAGCAGCTAGAGATCAACGTATTCGTGTCCTGTAATTCAGTGGCTTCCTTCCCTCAAGACAGGCATTTATATTCACAGAGACACTGTTTATAGGAACCCAAAGTATCCAGGCATTAGCATGGATACATTTAAATGATAGCCTCTATCTCTAGTCTGCATAAAGCATAAGCATTTCATTTATTACTGAACAAAACCAATTTTGGACTCATGAAAACACACCGGTTTTTCATGAGTCCAAAATGGCTGGAACTAAGCAAGAGAGCATGGATAGGTGGACTAAACATAAAAGGTCGCATGCTGGGAAGACGGCTCTGTGGATAAATGCTTGCTGAACAAACAGGAGGACCTGAGTGTGAATTCCCAGCACCCATGTAAAAAGCTGGCTATGGCGATGAACATATGCAACTCTAGTGCGGAGGGGACAGAGACAGGCAGAGCCCCGGAGCTTGGTGGTCCCTAGGTTGGGTTCACTGTGGTTGGAGAAGATGAATGGGCTTTGACCTTCTGCACACACCTGAGATAAGGAAATAGTAAAAGTATTTATATTGGTCAGATTTCCATTACTATAATAAACATTTGGATAATCCGCTTAGAGGCGTGTATTGATATAGTTGAACTGTATTTGGACTGCCAGCCTGCAAATAATGACACAGAGACTTATTAGTTATGAAAGCTTAGCCTTCAGCTCAGGCTTGTCCCATTAGCTCTTATAACTTAACCTACTTTTATTAATCTACATTCTGCCATGTGGCTTTTTTTCCCAGATATTTTTATTTGAATTAGGAACAGGATTGTTTTACATGACAATCCCAGTTCCCTTTTCCCTCCCATCCTCCCCTACAATCCCCCCTAACTAAAACCTTACCTATCACATATTCTTTCTGCTCCCCCTGGATGGTGAGGCCTTCCATAGGGTGCCATCAGAGTCTATCATATCCTTTGGGATAGGGCCTATGTCCACCCCCGTGTGTCTTGGCTCAGGGAGTATCCCTGTATGTGGATTGGGCTCCTGAAGTTCACACCAATGCTATGGATAAGTACTGAACTACTACAGGAGGTCCTGTAGATTTCCAAAGTTTTCTCACTGAAACCCAAATTCCTGGGGTCTGGATCAGTCCCATGTTGGTATCCCAGTTATCAGTCTGGGGAGCAAGAGTTCTCCGATGTTCAGGTCAGCTGTTTCTATGGGTTTCACCAGCCTGGTCTGGACCCCTTTGCTCTTCACTCGTCCTTCTCTGCATCTGGATTCCAGTTCAGTTCAGTGATTAGTTGTGGGTGTCTGCTTCTAATTCCGCCAGCTGCTGGATGAGGGCTATCAGGTGGCATATAAGTCAGTCATCAATCTCACTATCAGGGGAGGGCATTTAAGGTGGCCTCTCCTCCGTTGCTTAGATTGTTAGCTGGTGTCATCTTTGTAGATCTCCTGGCATTCCCCTAGTGACTGATTTCTCTTAAATCTAAAATGTTTCCCTCTATTATGGTATCTCCATTCTTGTTATCTTCTATTCTTCACCTGACTCAACCTTTCTACTCCCTCATGACCTCTGCATACTTCCTCTTCTTCCCTTCTGATTCTCTTAGCTCCCTCTCCCCTCTTCCCGTGCTCCCAATTTGCTCAGGAGATCTTGACCCTTTCCCCTTCTTCAGGGGACCATGTATGTCTCTCTTAGGGTCCTCCTTGTTTACTAGCTTCTCTGGCAGTATGGATTGTAGGCTGGTAATCCTTTACTCAATGTCTAAAATCCACATATGAGTGAGCATCTCACTAGATGCCAAAAAAGCCTTTGGCTGCCATGTGGCTTTTTAAAACCTGTTCTTCATTCTGTGTGTCCCGTTTGTTCCACGCTTTGCCATTGCCCCTGCCTCTTTTCTTCCCAGAGTTGTTCTCTCTTCCCAGAAGTCCCTCCTAGACTCTCCAGCCTAGCTATTGGCCATTCAGCTCTTTATTAAACCAATCAGAAGGCGCCTTAGGCAGAGACACATCTCTACAGTGTACACAATATTACAAAACATATTGGGGCACAGTTTGGGAGGTGCTGGGCTATGACTGCTTAGCTCCATTGCTTTGAGGCCTGTGGCAAATCACTATGGGACCATGTGGCTATAGGGGATCAAAATTACCTTAAACCTAGGAAGCAAAAAAGATGGATAGGATCAAGGTACCACAATCCCCTTCAGGGGCGTGCCCTTCTCATGATTTAACCCTGCCTCTTACCAGTAGCACCACACTGAGGCCAAGCCTGTACCACAATGGCCTTCACTAAGCACTTGAGATCCAACCTAGAGTTAGAGCAGTGGAAATGGGGAACATAGTAGGTAAGGAGAGACCTCTGAGGTCTCCAAAGAATTTTAAGGTTTGGCAGTGAGTGATGGGTACACAGATTTGTCCTCTATCGCTCAGACTAGAAAAACATTGTGCAAACAATAGTATGAGGACTGTGGTGGCCAGAAGAGTCACTTGCCTCACAACACCTGCTGGATTGGCCTTTCTGGCTCCCTGTGGTCAAGTGAGACCACAAACTGGAATTGTGACTCAGGAACATCAACAATGTGTGTCATTTCTAGGTCAAATGGTAGTTGCTATTCTATGGCCTTCAGAGCTGCCTCTAAGTCCAGCAGGACAGCAGTCCTCATTCCAAAAAGTATTTGTTCCTTCAGCCTAGAGAGAGGGTGAGGACACTGTGGATCGGGGACATCCAGCAGTCTGCAGTGTGTAGAAACCAGCAAGATGGAAACCTTTCCTGTTATAAGCCACTATGTGAAGACAGCATAGGAGGTGAGTTCTTGCCTCAGTACCATTTCACAGGAGACCTGCTCTGTGAGGAAGACAACACTGTGGAACGCGTGGAAGAAGAGCGTGTCTGAGTGTGGAAACTTCCAAGTACAAAGACCCTGTCGTGAAACCAAAGGACAGAAATTAGACCAGCGCAGACTGTAGGAGGGACAGTAAGCGCTGCGAGCAGAGGGGAAGGCGGAGGTCTGAGTGCACTGAGACTGGTCAGACACTCGGAGCCTTCTCCTAGGCGGCCACCAGTGGCTTCAAGCAGGGGGATGACAGCATGCTGACTCCATCTGAAAGGGCTCATTCACCTCACTGTGTGGAGAGTTATGGAGGGCAAGCAGGAAACCACAGAGCCCATTTACAAAGCCGAGTCAGTGAGAGACTATGGTCAGGGGCTTTGATGCTGCAACCCCAAAGAGAGGGGGGATTTTTGTTTTGTTTTTTGAGTCTGAGTGCTGGAGTACAGGCATCCGCCACTGTACTGGGCCAGCAGTAGGATCTCAGGGGATATGTTTTGTACCAGATGGAACTTGCAAAAAAGATGGAAAACACAGACATGGAAGAGCTGGCACAGTGGGAAAAGGCACTGCTAGCCATACTAGCCTGATAGCTTGCCTAAAATGTCAATGCGCTGGCCTGAATCTGTTATCCCAGCACTCCTACTTCAAGATGGGAGATGGAGACAGGAGAGCTTGCCTAGAGCTTCATGGACCAGCTGTAGTGCAAAGAACATCAGAAACAAGGGAGACCCTGCTTCAGCAAGATGGAAAAGGAGAACCAATTCCAACCACACTCACACACACACACACACACACACACACACACACACACACACACACACTCACACACACACACAC